ACGAAAAATAATTATAAACCAAAGTGTTTAAGAAATGAGAATTGGTTGGCTCTAGTCTCCATTAAAGGCTGCACTGCAGCGGCGAACAGAGATGGTTCCCCTGCCTCCTAGCTGCTCAACTCAAGAGCCATTCACAGAGGCTTCAGTCTCCGCGATTAGCTTTCAAGGAACAGATGTCAGGAGATCAAATGGGTTGATTTCCTCACTTCCTCCTTTATCCAGAGGAAGTTGGGCAACCAGCGCTTGCCGCCAGCCAACAATCCAGCTGCAGCGTCATCTCTCCCTATCACGAAGAAGTGTTTAAGCTGCCACATTCTCACTGGAAATCCCCATCCCACCCAAACTTTAGAAAAGAAAACCTGGAGTTATGGCCCATCAACATGTGCTACATAATCACCCTGCCCACTTTGTCTCTCAGCTTCAGAAAAATAATAGTAAACCAAATCAGCTGTCAGCTATGAAAATGTGTTGCATGTTTGCCCACAGGGAAAAGGATATTTAAAGGACCATCTTGTTTTTTTCCCTTGAACTTGTGTTAGTGTTGTGCTCAGGCACTGAGGCCCTGCTTCGGGACTCACCGTCTTCTGAAGAACGGACTCTTTCTTTTGAGGCATCCCTGTCTTTTAAATTTCCATCTTGAAGTGTTTTCTTCTTCACACTAGGAAAGCATTTCATGATTTGATCCTGTGCTTCAGAACTGTTAGCTAAGGAACATTAATAATTGACCTAAGCACCCTCTGCTGGTGTCTCTGGAGTTAAACTAGTGGGCTGATATTTACACCAGCAGACTTAACCCAGTCTTTTGATAAAGAACTGCTGGAGTGACTGAGAAATGGACGTTTCCATAGCTAATCTAGTTCCGATTTACCCAGCGTGGTGACCTACAGGTGAAACTGGAAAAATTAGAATATTGTGCAAATGTTCATTTATTTCAGTAAGGCAACTCAAAAGGTGAAACTAATATATGAGAGAGACGCATTACATGCAAAGCGAGATATGTCAAGCCTTACTTTGGTATAA